TATTTTAGTGAGATTGCCTGAAAGTATCTCTTTCTCCTAGAGATTAAAAATGAAGGGAGACAAAAACAAGAGGGACACTGAAGTCAAGTGTTTGTTAAAGACCACCGATCTGGGTACGGCAGGCTGGTCTAACGGCTAAAGTCCTTGCCTTGAACATGCTGGGATCCCATATGGGCACCGGTCCTAATCCCAGCAGCCCCCCATTCCCATGCAGCTCCATGCTTGTAGCATGGGAAAGCAGTCGAGGATGGCCCAAAGCCTTGGGATCCTACACCCATGTGGGAGATCTGGAAGTAGTTCCTTGCTCCTAGCTCCTGGCTTCAGATTAGCTCAGCTCTGGCTATTGTGGTCACTTGGAGAGTGTGTCATCAGACGGAAGATCTTCCTCTCTGTCTCTTCTTCTCTTTGTATATCTGACTTTGTAATAAAAAACATTAATTTAAAATAAAAAAGACCACTGTTCTATTTGTATCAATTAATGCCCAAGTCAGCCTAGAACACAGGCATTAGGAAAAAGCAGCTAATTTCAGAAATGCTAAGGTAGACCACAAAGCTAGGAAGTGACAAGGACAAATTCTAACCCAGTTCCGACTCCCAAGTCTGTGCTATTTCTAGCAGGCATCTTATTGTGGGATGCTCTCTATGGTTCTTAAATCATGTTTGGCTTTCAAGAAAAGGAAGTCATTTCACGACCAAACAATTATCTTGTCACCATTTTAATATTTGTCTGAGTAAAATGAGACTTTACATCAGTGGCCGGACAGGTCTGACACTTTAAATTGTAACAAATATATAAAATTAAGTGTTCTTAAAAACACAGGAAATGTACAAACACAGCACAGTTTTAAGCACCCGAGGTTGGGATTTTCAAAACTAAACACTATTTAGCAGTTATATGACCCTAAGAATCCCAGGACTCTAGTTGTTCATTATTCTTCAAACAAATCTGACAGTATCCCCAAGGCAGAGACTGCCTGATTTACCAATAAGAACAAAAAGAAGACTTCATTAAAAAAAAACACAAATAGTGGGAAAGGACACAGAAAGACAAATATCACATATTTTCTCTTATATGTAGGAGTTAACATATAGGATGCATAAAAATTGTGTGGCTGTCTTATAATCTGTTACATGAGTGGTTATGAATATTGCCTTATTAATTACACCATGCATAAAACAATGCAACCTTTTCTCACTTTGCAACCACCATCATGGATTCCACATAAGGTGATAATATCTGTTTTCAAGAAACAACGTGTGTGTACAATTTTTACATATGAAGTGAATATGACAAATTGTTACACCTTACAATGAATTTTAAAAAGACCATGAAATTATAACTTATCATGCTGCATTATATACTTAAAATGATAAAGTATATTTTATCTTAAACCATTTTATTCACAAGTGACACATCAGAGAGGTGATATATAGGTGAGTTAAGTAGATTGTGATCATCTCCTAATATATTCACATATCAAAACATTACATTGTGTACTTTAAGTACATACAGTTTTACAAGCAAATGCTATCTTCATAAGAAAAATGTGAAATAAACAGAAAAAATGCTTCTAGAGTGTGAAATATCATACTGTACTCCATAAAAGTATATTATATTAAAAATGTCCAACTAAAATTTTTAAAAAGAATAGATGAAGAAGCTATATTTATAGTACGCATAGTATTGGAAAAATGCAAACATTTTAAAATGTAGAATCATGGTAGGGAAATTATTAAGATGTAAAAACAAAACATTTTTTATGGTAACAATTTCAAATACAGATTTTTGTAAGACGTTTTTGCGTTTCCAATTTAGACATTGAGCTTATAAAGTGTGATGTTATTTCCCTTTCCTATACACATATTTCATAAAAAGTAAAAATGTTTAACACTCAAAGCATTTCGTTGCCCCTAATCATTTTAATTTTGTATTTAACTTAGGCTGACTTACCATTTAATATTGACTTTATCATATTAACTACATATTGCATTGGGAAGATACACTCATATTTTTCACCTTTAAAATATATCTACTTATAAGAAAAAAGTTTCACACACTCCATTTATTTAATTTTAAGGATAAAACAATACTTCCCATCTCCCTCCCTTACATCCTACTCTCATTCTCTACTTTTTTTATTTCTTTTAATTTTTGCAGTGTCATTATTTCCATTTACTTACATTCACAAGCTTAACCTCCACTAAATAAAGAATGCAACAAGTGGAAAGATCACCATTCTTCAGGAGTATCAACAAGAACCATAAACAATAGCCCAATCTGAAGATGTCAATTTCACTCTTAATGCATTACATTTTGTTGTACTCTATATTAGCCATCACAAATCAGTGAAAACATGAAATTGATCTTTTGCCATTAGCTTATTTCAATAAGCATAATCGGCTCACTTTTATCCAAAAGACAGAATTTTACTCTATTTTTTTTTTCATCTTTAAAAGAGAGAAGAGTATGTATTATTGCTTGTTTTAAGAAAATAGATATTATGCAAAAATATCACAATGATAAACTTAACCCAAACACTGAAGCAAGGTTAGAAACAAATACCACCAAGCTCCCGAGTCCCTCACTGCAAACACATTTCCTTCTAGCTTGATTATGAATATTCTATATGACACTTCAAAATATTCATGGAAAAGTTAAATTAAAACATATAATTTGGTGCAAAAATCTACTGAAATTCATATGCCATTTTTTTATCTCATGCTCTTCCTGCGAGCTTTTTGAAGACCCTGCATGTATGTGACCACAAAATTCCAAGAAACAACGAAATCTTACTAAGTCCTCCTAATCTCATTGGTCAGATATTGACGAATTCTTCATCTTACACATTATTACATGTTGGCCTCTCAAGCTATCTAGAAACAATCAGATACGGTACCTTAAAGAACCAACCTACGCAATTTTATACTTACAAATGTCAGAGAACCAAATAAACACGTGCATCATATTTGCAGCATAGGTGGAGACTGAAGGTGGATGAATGACCCAAATATTTTCTGTAACAAGTGACCCAGGTGGTAGGGACAACTTCCTAAATCTACTTAGTATTAATACATGCTTTTCAACTAGGAAGTAGATTAAATCAAAACATTAGAATATTAAGAAACCTATAAAGATCTTGATTTATGTTTTAAAGTGCAGTAATATTTCTTCTTCTTTAAATTTCAATATTAACTATCAAAGACTCTTCTATTAATGTAGTCAGTGTTCTATAGACTGACATCATAAACACACTTTTACTATTATCCACTAATGAAAATTACTGTAAAAATAGTGTGAACAAATCCCTCAATAACTATTAGTTTATTTTGATATCATTTCATTTAGCTTTCTTTTTAAAAATATATTTGTTTTTATTGGAAAGTCAATATACAGAGAGGAGGAGAGACAGAGAGGAAGATCCTCTGTCCAATGAGTCACTCCCCAAGTGGCCGCAACAGCCAGAACTGCACCGATCTGAAGCCAGGAGCCAGAAGTCTCTTCTGGGTCTCCCACATGGGAGGGTCCCAAGGCTTTGTGCCTTCCTCAACTGCTTTCCCAGGCCACAAGCAGAGAGCTAGATGGGAAGCGCAGCCGCCGGGATTACAACCGGCGTCCATATGGGATCCTGGCACGTGGAAAGTGAGGACTTTAGCCACTAGGTTACCACACTGGACCCTTCATTTAGCTTTTAAAAATTTAAGTTTATTTCCATTAGTTGGATAGAAATTAACTTTTATCACTTACTAAATCTTTTAAAAATTATTTGAGCAATGTATAATCTATAATATTTAAATCAAATGAAGTAATTAATTCTTTCATTACTTTTCATGAGTAATTCTTTTCCCTGCAATATCAATTTGATTTTTATTCTCTTGGGGAAGATTTTTCTCTTTTTTTCAGTAACAATATAAATGATTTTCCCAATCAGAACAGAGCTGGTCCTCTTACAGGCTTTATTAAAAAGATTTTTCTCTCAATACTAGCTCATTTTCCTCAATTTCAGAATCCCTCTCTTCAGTGTGTCTACATTCTGGACTGAGCATGCCCGGGAAGAAATTAAATGAAGACCAGGGCAGCCACTCCACTATTTATCATGTTACTTGGTCAATGAGTTTCTCCCACCTCTGGCTGTTCCACTCCTAAAATAGAGATGCTATCTCTCTCATGTATCCAAGAGCATAGTATGATGGTCAACATAGGCTCTTAACATCATTCCTAAGGAAATCACTATATGATGGGGGGAAAAAAGTCAGAAGGAAAAGAACTGTGGTTCTTTGTGGAATGTCATTCACACATAAAACCTTCCAGCACAACACTGTATAGCGGAACAGAGAGGAATGCTATCACGCAGAATTAGAGTTCCAATATCAAACATGAATGACACCTAAGAAGTGATACTACATCACTCATCTTCAACACTTTACCCACAACTTGGGCAGTTGTGCTGATTGTGATAAAACAGAGTGAAAATCATAAAGCATGAATAATACAGCCTAAGGATATAAAACTTCAATAAAGCAAATTGTTCAGAACAAAGAATTCACTTAGGAGATTCAGTTCGTCACCAGTGACTCCTGATACTTTTCGGAAGACCAAGTTCCTGACTTTACAGTTTATTACACCAGCATCTGTTTTACTATTTAGATTTGAGTCATGCAATGATACGATTTCTTAAATGTTTTTGATTATGATTAAACAAAGAATTAAAAGCTGTAATGTGTACAGGTTTACTGGGTTTTACAATACTTTAGGTACACAGAATCTACAACTCCATGCCAGACTTGTTTGAAGACCCCAATATTATGTGGCTCAGTTCCAAAAATTAAGCCCTCTTTAAACTAACCATCATTTCTGGCTGAGACTTGCAAAGTGTAACTTTTAAGACAACATATTGTCCTTGTGTTAAAGCTTGGATCTAAGATTTCTCTTTTTATTATGCTCCCAAGTATTATAATAATTTCTTCTCTCACGGTGAATTTAAAATGTGAGTCAAACTTACTTTCTTGTATTGCATTAAGAATCTCTGAAAAGTCCACATCACTCTTTGGATCGTCAGGTAGTGTTTGCATGTCCAGCTCGTAGCCTTGCAAATCCACACCTCCTTCTGGAGAAATGAAAGATATTCATGGAGTTTGCACTGGTTATCAGAAAGCCCAGCATTAGGGTCCCAAGTAGAAACAATGTCAAAATCCAAAATGGACAGTTAGCTGGTCTGCCAAAATTTTTCCCTTTAGATGAATGCCTTTTGTTTTCACAAAAGGAAGAACCCAAGTCATTTGCTCCTCATGGAACTGAAAATTTCACTTGCATTTCAATTTTTAAATAAGGTAACCACTTCATTATAATGTAACACACTTCATAATATTTATAAATTATTTTCTAGGTGAAAAAAATACAGCAGCGGCCTCCACTCAAGGACACTCAACACTATTTTTAGCTTCTACATAGATTTAAAAAGAAGTGATATTTAACACATTTTATGACATCACCTTACAATAATTCATTCTTAAGACTTATTTTTCTATCACAGAAAAGAAGTATCAATGTTTTTCCCTTTGAAAGCTCTATCACTTGTTTCTAAACTATGTCAGAATATTTCTATTTATTCTAAAACATAATTGAGCCTCCAGCACTGGGCTTATCTGGTGTATTTTTGGCATGTTCTAAAGAAAAAGTTTTGCTTATTGTTCCATGTGCCTTAAAAAAAAAATTAAGGGAAGTCAAGAAGGCGATTTACTGAAAAGCTGTGTCACTAGTGATAGTGCTTTTAAAATTCCAAGTTTTTAAACATTTAAGGAATCTATTAACATTAGATTTTCAAGATCACAGCAAATTCATAATTGGTACAACACAATTCTAACCAATTCTCATGTTAATGGGATACTAATACAAGGAGAACATAGTATAATTCATAGACATACTTCTAATACATATATTATATACCTACAATGATATATAATATACAATAATGTGTGTGTGTGTATTTCTCTCCCCCTCTTTTTCTTCCTTTCTTTGGAATATATTCAATCTGAGGAGTCTGCAACAGTAAGAAACCAGTGCTAAAATAAAGAGCTTAATGAATTAAACGGGCCATGTCCCAACTTCCAATATTTTTGTAGAAATTAGGCTTTCATAAGCTCAGGAAGTATAATTTGATATAATTTCATTTACATTTCTAAAACAAAATAGGACACAGGCACTGCCTTACAAGTTGTTATTTCTAAGCAACCTGATGTGACAGAGAGTCAGCAGAGGACAGAGGCTCGGCATGCTCTAATCCCAGCACGTAGAACAGTGGCAAGCATAGAGGAGACTCACAGCAAAAGCAGGGTGAATGAGGAGGATGATTAGGCAGTAACTGTGAAACCAGCAGGGCAAAGCCACAAACACAGCTTAGAAACAGACTCCGGAGCCAGAGACATCAGCACTCAAGTCTTAATAGCTGAATTCAACCTCTCAAAATCTGGCATTCCTTATCTATAACACAGAGGTGAGAGTAGCCTCACGGAGTAGCCAGAAAGATTAAATGAAATTATGCACATAAAGTTTGTTGTTGTCACAAATCAGCATTTAATAAATAGAAGTACTATTTTCATCCATAATCCCTTATTAAAACAATGGTATTTCTATTCAGACTATGGATAAAGCGAGGAAAGTTCCTAGGGACCCCAGCATACGTTCCAGAGACTCTTAGGCACTGCTGCTTCCCAGAGTAGACAAATGAATGAACATTTCAAATTCATGCATGCACTTGCCTCACTGCAAAGTCTGGACTTATCCGCAAGATGGTTTCTCACCAAGGACAGATAAGAATACTTTTCTGCAACTGCAAGTAGATAGTGGAAAGACAGACCTTCCAAGAACTAGTTATTTCTGCCTTGTTCAGGAACCAAAAATTCCATAATAACAACCAAAAAGGTTACAAGAATATTAAATAATGTGTATCAGTGAAGCTCAGTGCTATATAATTTATTGTCTCATTCAATCTTTACTGTGTAAAGGAAACATGATAAAATGTACTAGGTTGCCTAAAGTCACTGAGACCTAATGCCCTGAACTAGTCTTTAATTATACTCATACCCAAAAAGTCATAAATACAGGCTGGTGGAAATAAGAGAAAAAGAAGTACTAAATGAATCCAGTAGAATTCAATAGACTGACACCATTGTAGCATAGTGAGTAAAGCCACCAATTATGGTGCCAAACATCTCACATGTATGCTGACTCATGTTTTGCTGCTTCACTTCTGATCCAATGCTCTGTTAATGGCCTGGGAAGACAGCAGGAAATAGCCCAAATATTTAGGCCCCTTGTGCCAATGTGAGACACACAGATGAGTTCTATGGCTTTATCTTGACCCAATCCTGGCAACCCCCTTTGGAGCGAACCACCTGAGAGAAGATCTCTCTCTATCTCTCTCTTTGTGTCTCCCCCTGCTTTCTATAACTCTGACTTTCAAATAATCGATAAATTTTTTAAATAAAAAACAATTTAATAGACTTACATCATGTTCTGAAACACAGTCATCTAATAACCTAAAACACAAATGACTTCCTAAACAGACTAACACATAGAAGGTCAACTTATTTATCTGTTGTCTACCATAGTTAAGAGCTCAAAACTTCATGGGGAAATGGCAATACCTACCACATTACTAATTTTAATAAATAAAATTCCAAAAATTAAAAATACTTTAAGTTAGAGAACAGTATAGAACTCAACAACAATGCAATACAAATGAGGCATATATGTTTTTAAAGGTTCTATCTATAAAAATATTTAATATCATGGGGGAATGTTTAAAACAATAAAAAGTAAGAGAATCAATGATAGTGCAGACACAGATGTATACATGTACCAAATATAATCTAATAACAAACATTTGTATGACTGGAAAAATGAATAGCAAGAGTATTTGTAAAACACATAGTCAATTCTCAGCCATGAAGCTATGGATTTAACATCATGCTGTTGTAAATTTTTTTATTTTTCTCTTTGCTGATTATGTTTTAGGACTTTTTATTTAAGGGGATGTATAGTAACTGTGTAGTACAGACTATCACAGAGATGTAAAGCTACAATGCAATGTGCATCCTTCCTTACAAATCAAATGAAACTGTTGAATGTATCTTGTCAATTTGATGCTGGACTCTGTCATTGTCCAAGCGTACGGGATCAGGACACACTGAAATAGCAGAATGATGGACTTCTGGACTTATTGTGCACGACTTCACTAATGTAATGATTTGGGGAAAATCAGTGGGGGCGAGTGAGGCTTTGGGGAGAGTAAGGGAAATCCTGGAGCCTATGGAACTGAGTCATAGAATACTAAAATAAATGAATAAATAATTCAAAAAGGAGAACAGCTGAAAAAACACAGACAACACGCTGGTACCAAAAAAAAAAAAAATCAAGCAGAGCCACAAAAACAATGTGATTTCCATTTTTGTCGTTAGTACTTATCATACCAGAGGGACATAGACAAGAATGGTTTTCCTGAACCCTTAATTTTGAATGCCAAATACAAGTAAAGTTGAAAGTAGTTTCAATAAAAGTGTTTGGTAACAATGACATTTCAATAAAGGATGTTGAGTTGGGCAAATAATATTTAAAAATTTGTTTTAGACTGATATCTAGATGACATGGATCTTAGTCAAGGGCTCATCTGCAAGATGAACAACAATGGGTGAAACTAACTCTCCCATGAGTGTCTTCATTAGCAGAGATGAGTATTGCCAATGTCTCTGCAGTCTCACTTTTGTCCATGGAAATCTCTTTATATTTCTAAGCCCATGGTAATCCTCTGTTTCAGAAATAATTTTTTATGATTTTTTTTTTGTCAGAAAAGCAGATTTACAGAGAGAAGAAGTGACAGAGAGGAAGATCTTCCACTTGATGGTTCCCTCCCCAAGTGGCCGCAATGGCTGGAGCTGAGCCAATCCGAAGCCAGGAGCCAGGGACTTCTTCCAGGTCTCCCATGTGGGCGGAGGGTCCCACAGCTTTGGGTAGTCCTCAACTGCTTTCCCAGGCCACAAGCAGGGAGCTGGATGGGAAATGGAGCTGGTGGGATTAGAGAACGTCAAGGCAAGAACTTTAGCTGCTACACCCTAGGCCCTAGGAATAATTTCTTAATCCTAGCAAGTAAATTACCATTTTTCCACCTATTGAATCCACATGGCATTCTGAATTTTAATTTTTGTATGGCATATTTTTCCCACACACACAAAAAGTTAACTAGCTAACACAATATGAAACAAAGAAAATGCCAGTTCCTATGTCACTGTATACAAACTTCTCCAATTTGCTAGTGCCCTTACTTTAACTGTAACACATGGAGATGTGGGACCAAATATCCAACAAAACCTAGGACAAAGCCTTTAATATGTGTCCTTTTACTGCAGTGTCACACCACTAGCAATAATAGCACACACAGGCTAACAAAACGCTCCAGTTTTAGAGTCTAATCCACAACGTAAGGTATCTTGATAGATGTTCTGTAGACTACTTTGTAAGACAAATCACAGACCATGTATTTTTACTGTTGCAATAGAAATAATCATACAATTCTATCAAATAACGTCAAAGTGCCAAAGAACTTATACTGAAAACAACTGTCCCTTTTGCAACCCCACTGCTAGTACAACCACCTCAGAGAGTAGACATTGGGGCTAGTGCTGTAAGGGGTGAAGCCTCCACATGCAGCACCTGGGCCCATTTTGGCACAGAATCTAGTTCTAGCTGTTCCACTTCTAATGTAGTTATCTGTTAATTTGCCTGGGGAAAGCACTGGAAGATGGCCCATTTTGGGGCCCATGTACCCCAACTGGAAATTGGATGAAGTTTCTGGCTTCCACCATGCCCAGCCCCAGCTGTTGCAGTCTTTTGGCTGAGTGAATCAGTAGGTAGACTATCTCCCCCTCTCCCTTTCTCTGTGTGTAAGTGTATGTGTGTATACTATTGACTTGCAAATAAACAAAATAAATATTTTTTAAAGGAGTACCTTTTGGTTTCTTCCATGTGTATCATATTTCTTGATTCATCAATTTTTATACCTTTTATTCTTTTCTGCTGTGGCATATAAAGATATAATTGACTTCAACACAA